GAATTCTAAGTTTGACTAAGTTACGCAAAATTAGAGTTTAGGCAAAATTGGAATTAGAGTGGGAAAAACAGAGATCACGGCTAACGAAGTCACGAAATTGATGATATATATGCTAAAATCATGCTCTTAGTTTCTCCTGTTGGGTAATGAATCATTTTGCTGAATAGGATTTTCTGTTAAATTATTTAAATAAACATGATACAATTTAACCTTTTTATATGCGGCATTTAAGTAATTATCGGTAGCACTTTTACGTATAAGATCATGATGTGATGCATTAGAAGGACTTGCAAAAATATCAGTGTTGGTTGAAAGTAGACCTGTAACAGTTCCAGCTCATAAGTTCAGCTCATTTGAGCGAAAGAACTGTTGAACAGTTCTTTTGAAAGGAGCTGATATGTTCGAACAGATCTTTTGAATTTTTAAAAATTGAAAGTTTTTGAAATTTTTTCACGCTGAAGCAAGAGCTTGCTCAACTCGAAGCACTGGAGAAGAACGGTCATACATTTGCGTCATTCTGGAGAAAACATTCAACTTTACTTCCAATATTGAACCAGATGGCACGTCGATTCGATCTTATACCCGCGACCTTAGCCCCCAGTGAGAGCGCATTCTCAATCGCAGGCTATGTTGCTCGAAAAACATGGTCTTCTCTCTCAGCTAAAAACGTGAAATATTCAACGTTCCGAAAAGATAAACTTTAATCTTTTCTTTAGTCTGCTTTTCTTACAAAGATCATACTTCTTTTATTTTACTTTTTAACCATACTTATCTGATGAATAAAAAATTGACCATTTTACATGCTTCTATTTATGATTGCAAGACTTCACTGATATGAACGCCTAATGAACATTCGCGACGTTTAAACTTTGTCTAGACGACCAGTGAGCTGCTCGAACATATCAGCTCCTTTCAAAAGAACTTTTCAACAGTTCCTATGATAGGAATTGATATGGAGCTGTCATATCCCTAGTCGATTTTTTAATTCAGTTATAACGCTAGTAACAAACTCCTTTCAATTATCACTATGAAGCAATCGTGGCGGACCAAAAACAAAAAATAATTCTATTAATTTAAGAGAAACATCCACAGCCGATTTATCTTTCAACAGAAAAGCCCAGCAAAATTTACTAAAATGATCGATACAGTTTAAGATCCAGTTAAAAACAACATCTGGTTCAATTTTATCTGGTCTAGTATGCATGTCAAATAAATCGATTTGTAACCGTGTCATGACACCTAAGGATATTATTGGTTTGGACACTACATGTTGTTTGATTGGTTTTCTAATTTGGCAAGATGTACAATGTTTTAAAAAAATTTCAATAGCTGGACGAGGAACCCACGAATAATGAGAATTCACCTCACAAAGAGTTTAATCGCGCCCACCATGAGAAACCGAGACATGACATTCGCTTATTACATTGAAGAAAGATTCATAAATACAGACAGGTATTTTTGTTTTTATACAACATGCAGTATCAATACCCACTATTTTCAACAATAAAAAATTTTGTTTCGCCCAAAAAGAAAGGACTGGGTGCAATAAGAACGAGATTGGGCCCATTTCAGATCGTCTCGAACGGTATCTAGAATGTAAGAGCATACAATTTTATGGGGTTCTACACCCCTGGTTCCCCTTCGGAGCTCATATCTATCAGAAAATCGATTAATAGCTCTGCGAGCCCATTCCGAGCCGTTTTCGTAATTTTCTCAGAACACAACAAGTTTGAAGGAAAGTCTTATATACCATTCGATCCAGCTTTGGACGGCGCACAAAACTGTCTATTGCTCAATTGTTATGCATACCACGAACACCCATGTTTTTGTCATATTGCTGTTAAAAGGTGGTCTTTGCAGCATAGCCAACCATACTATTTCAACTTTCGCACCATGAAAAAACCTAGGTTGCGCCAGGCTTCAGGGTCTTGAGATAGTGATTTCTGAAAAACTCGATTTTGTAGAAAACCCAGTGACCTTAAAATGCTTTTGAAAAGTTTTTCAACCAAATCATTGGACAGACCCTTCAATTATCCACAAAATGAGATGCTGGTCACATTTCTACGATGTTGTGTCAAAGTCCCATAGAAAATACGGTGCAGATGGAAAATTCGGTTTTCACGCGAATGAGTGTATATTCGTAATGTTAAACAGCCTATAACTCTGGTTGAGGAACTTTTCAAAAACATTTTAAGGTCACTGGGTTTTCTACAAAATCGAGTTTTTCAGAAATCACTATCTTAAGACCCCGAAGCCTGGCATAACATTTCTTCATCGAAATATATAGAAATCGACGCGCTCTTTCATTTGATACCAACTTCAAGGTTCTACGTTAGGAAATGTGGTCAGCATACGTTCTACAAGTTAGGCCAAATCCGCCGGAAAATGCATTTTTCGGCTGCGACAGTAAAATGGCTATAACGTTTTTTCTAACATGGCTAGAGATTTGCGGTTTTCAGTATTCGGTTCAGCTTGCTGAGCTCTATAATATGAGACAGGTCTGATCACTAACATTAAAGGTCGATGTAAAAGGTGGTAGGTTTTTCATGGATCGAGCCTATCCGTCGATACCGAAAACACCACTTTGCAGTAGTAATATCCGAAAAAAATGAGTGTTTACATTTTCAACTAGATATGAATTACCGGCCATTTTGTAGAATTTTGAAAGAGCTTTCTTTTGATATATAATGTAGACCGCAACCTAAGTTCTGTCATAGTAAAAACACAGAAACCTTATCCGTCAGTATGCTTGAAAACATTACTCTGCAGTAGTAATATCCCAAAAAGTGAGTGTTCGCACTTCCAACTAGAAATGAGTTACCCATTATTTTGTAGAGTTTTGCAAGAGCTTTCTTTCGATATATAATGTGAACCGCAACCTAGGTTTTTCATGGTGCGAAAGTTGAAATAGTATGGTTGGCTATGCTGCAAAGACCACCTTTTAACAGCAATATGACAAAAACATGGGTGTTCGTGGTATGCATAACAATTGAGCAATAGACAGTTTTGTGCGCCGTCCAAAGCTGGATCGAATGGTATATAAGACTTTCCTTCAAACTTGTTGTGTTCTGAGAAAATTACGAAAACGCCTCGGAATGGGCGTACCTAGATTATTCTTTTCTCGAGTTATTCAGTTTACATTTGTACATGAATCAAGCACATGATCAGTTCTGTGTATTCTTCTACTATTCTTTTTATTTCTATTTCTGTTTCAATATCCAAAACATATACAATACATCGTCTCCCTTGACCGTTCTTTTCGCCTCTTTCCTTGTTTCTACAAATACTTATTCGAAGTAAAGTGAACCGTGCTACTTGGATAATCATACTACCTTTACGCGGTGAAGTGGATAAGTATCCTGTTCAGCAAAATGATTCATTACCCAACAGGAGAAACTAAGACCATGAATTTAGCATATATCATCAATTTCGTTAGCCGTGTTCTCTGTTTTTCCTACTCTAATTCCAATTTTGCATAAATTCTAATTTTGCGTGACTTAGTCAAACTTGGAATTCTAATTTTACCTAAAGAAACTCTAATCAAAGTTAGAATTCTAATCGAAAATGCCTTCGAATAGGTTAAAAACCATTGCGAATCTGGTGGAGATAGTTTGGGATCTAGAAAACCTCTGAAGCATCTCTGGAAAACTTCGCGAAGTAAAAGCTGATTTTAATGAGATTTTTTAAGCCATTTCCATTATTTCAGTCTGCATAATGTTTGAAAGAAATGGAAAAACACTTGGACATGTAGAAAAATCTAAAAATAGAACAGTTCTTTGTAATAATAATAAAGAAACCTAGAAAACTGCTGTTCTTAATCGTCGATATTAGCCAGAGATGGGCAGCTCCGACTCCGAAGCGGTTGATGAAAATCACCGGAGCTGGAGTAAGCGTTTTATAAGAGTCATGAAGTCGGAGCGGAGCGCTTCGTAAAAACTATGGAGCTGGAGCGGAGTCGGAGCGGCTCTTTCTTTTAGCGGTCCACCAATAGCTCCATTTTCCCCTTTGTGTTCTGTATACGATGATAGATCCATCAGTCAGAGGAAAGCTTATCGTTGACTATTCATCGCAGTCGATATTTCTTTGTCGTATTCAGTCGCAGTAGTGTACCTGTCACATCCGCATGAACGTGTGTTTTCTTCCGGTGGGATGTTCAGGCGATCCCATGTCAGCCAACCCTCTAAGAACATACTCGCTATGTTGACTCTATTCAAATGCAATCGACACTCCCCTATTTCCACTAGCCTTATTTCATGCTGTAGATCAAACTGGTCTAAAACTATTGTACATAAAAATTTTCGTGTTGATCTTCCGTATATGCTGTGAAAGAGAATATGAACCCCTCAGATCATTGCAAAGCTACTTCAAAGAAATGCGAAAAATGTGCTTTTCCAATAAGATGAAAACTATTTTATCTGAAGCGAAGTCGGAGCAGAGGTGGAGTGAGCTGGAGCGGAGCGGGAGTGAAGTTAGAGCGGAGCTGGGGCTGAGGTGGAGCGAAAATTTACTGGTTGGAGCGGAGTCGGAGCGGAGCGACTCAAAAATGCCTGAAGCGGGAGCGGAGCTGGAGCGAGAAGAGTCGGAGCTGCCCATCTCTGATATTAGCATTGATAATTTTACGATGACTTAGAATTTTATCTTTATATAAACCACTGAAAAACATTGTCAATACTTCCAAATAAGCTTTTCCTTCACTGTAAGCTTCTATCGTCCTCCAAAAACGTCTAAATAGCTTCAAATGAATATCTCTTTCTATAAAAGTTTCTTTTGCTTCTGACATTAAAGAAAGCAAGGCTTGAAAAGATTGATCGGTGTTTTTGCGGATGAACTGTTTTGAATGACACCAGAAACCTTCAATAGGATTAGTTTCAGAATGAAATTTCGGTGCAAAAATAATTTTGACACCATATTTGGCTTCTAACTTTTCAAGTTTGGTAACCTATTGATGGAAAATCAGACAAAAAGAACCATGCGCATTTTTAATTTGTGACTAGTTTAAATCAAGTTCTACTCACATTTTTAAAAGCTGGATGTTGAGACACGAACACTTTTAACTCAGGTAATTTACAATTTTGTGGCACATGAACATTCAATTCTTCTGTTAATTTCAAAAGACCTTTACTCTCTCCATCATCATCATCATAACACTCAATAGTTCTTTTGACATTTTGATCATCAACATATTCAATTGCATCAACTGGGCATCGTCCTCCATGCTTCATAGCGAAATTATAAACACTGTATTCAGCTGCTGTATGTGACAGGTACACTACTGCGACTGAATACGACAAAGAAATATCGACTGCGATGAATAGTCAACGATAAGCTTTCCTCTGACTGATGGATCTATCATCGTATACAGAACACAAAGGGG